TTTTAGTAGAGATGGGGTTTCACCATGTTGGTCAGGGTGGTCTCAACTCCTGACCTCAGGTGATCCACCCGCCTCGGCCTCCCAAAGTGCTGGGATTATAGACATGAGCCACTGTGCCTGGCCAAAGGGCACTGTTTGCTAGTCCCACATACCTCTGCCCTTAATTTAAGGCAAGCTTGTCCAACCATGGCCCAGGACAGCTTTGAATTTGGCCCAACACAAATTCATAAACTTTATTAAAACATTATGAGATGTGTGTGTGTGTTTAAGCTCATCAGCTATTGTTAGTGTTTTTTATGTGTGACCCAAGACAATTCTTCTTCCAATGTGGCCTGGGGAAGCCAAAAGATTGGACACCCTGATCTAAGGTCAGCTGCTCCACCCTATGATCCTCATCTCACAGGATATGCAAAATTTAACTTAAAGCAGATCATACATTTCTGTAACAGCTAAATCCATAAAATACTTAGAAAAAAGCCCAAGTAGTAAATCTTTGTGACTTTCTTAGCTATGACACCAAAAGCACAAATGATAAAAAGACTGATACACTGGACTGCATCAAAATTTAAAGCTTTTGTGCTTCAAAGAACATTATCAAGAAAGTAAAAAGACTATAAAATGGAAGAAATATTTGCAAGTCATTTATCAGATTAGGGACTTGTATACAGAATAAAATAATGGTTAGGCAGGGTTGCTCATGCCCGTAATCTCAGCCCTTCGGGAGGCTGAGGCAGGTGGATTGCTCAAGCCCAGGAGTTCCAGACCAGCTTGGGCAATATAGTGAGATCTCATCTCTACAAAAAAAAAAAAAGAAAGAAAGAAAAACCAGCCACGTGATGGTGCATGCCTGCAGTCCCAGCTATGTGGGAGGCTGAAGCAGGAGGATCAATTGAGCCCGGGAGGTTGAAGCTACAGTGAGCTATGATCGTGCCACTGCAGTGTAGCCTGGGCACAGAGTGAGATACTGTCTCAAAAAACAAATAAAAATAAGTTAAAAACCGTGCAAAGGGTCTGAACAGGCATTCCTCCAAAGAAGATACACAAATGATCAATAAGCATCTGAAAGGATATTCAACATCATTAATCATTAGGGAAATACAAATTAAAACCGAGATCCCACCTTACACCCAGTAAAGACAATGACAAGTACTATCCAGGATCTGGAGAAACTGCAACTCTCATATATTAAAAAAAAACCCTGGAAAGGCCTGTTTTCCCATGAGTAGGACTCACTCAGAACGCCCCTCCCACTTTTGACCCTAGGGAACTCTGAACGACCACACGCATTACGACCGGCCCTGGGGTTCCTCTAGGAGAGTAGGGGAGAAGCGTCGCGAGACCCGAGCACCTGTCTATGGGCAAGCAGTGCTAGGGCCTCCACGGCTCTCATCGTGCCTCTGCGGCCCAGTTCCCCGCCACTAGTAGCCTGGAGGGGAGCTTACCCAAGGCACAGGCCATGGCAGCTCCCACCAGGCCTCCACCCGACACCACCACGTCGTACACAGTGTCTGTTGAGGCGCCGGACCACCTGCGACAGGACACTAGCAGGCTGCTGCGGGCAGCTGCACGCACAGCGTCCCATCGTCTCACAAACCTGGCCGCCATGGTGCAGACGTGCGCGGTAGCACTCGGGACCCCAGCAGGCCCACCTAGGCAGTGCTTCCGGAGCAGAACCCTCCAACCCCGCCCCGCTTCAGCGGCGTCCTCAGAAGCGGAAATAAAATGCACGAAGAGAACAGGCCAATCGGAAAGCGAACCTTGCGGGGGGTGGGGCTGCCCTGGAAGCCAATCAGACACCAAAGCTAGAAAGAGGTGGACCCTGGCCCCTATAGCTAGCGCTGCCACCATCGCTGTCACCGTCGCTGCTGACTCTGCCCAGCTGAAATGACCGTGGGGAGGACTGAGGGAGGCCCCGGCGGCGCGGAGGAGAGCCGTCAGGTGAGGAGAGAAAGAGAACAGAGGAAGCAGCACTGCCCCCCGGAAAGAAATCCCAGAGAGGAAACTGTTTGGCGTTGCCTTGGCGACAGACTGGAGGGGCGTGGGATTAAAATGACCGTTTAGAGACCGAGAGGCGGACTCTGACTTGGAGACCTGTACCTCTTGGACCTTATACGCGGCTCTTCATAGGACCATAGCAATGTCACTCAGTTTTCGCTTATCCTCTCAGTACTCTTTGATCAGTAGTACAATTGCCGTCCCATTTTTGTAGAAGAGAAACCTCAGGCACAAAGAGGTTAAGAAAATTGCCCTCAAATGTGGCCGAGCGCAGTGGCTCACGCCTGTATTCCAGCACTTTGGGAGGCCGAGGCGGGTGGATCACCTGAGGTCAGGAGATCGAGACCAGGCTGGCCAACAGGGCAAAACCTCATCTCTACTAAAAAAAAAAAAAAAAAAAAAAATTTGCTTGGCATGCTGGCGGGCATCTGTAATCCCACTTACTTGGGAGGCTGAGGCAGGAGAATCGCTTGAACCCAGGAGGCAGAGGTTGCAGTGAGCTGAAATCACGCCATTGCACTCCAGCCTGGGCAACGTAAGGAGACTCTGTCTCAAAAACTAACTAAATAAAAATAATTAGCCGGTGTGGGCGGGGTGTAGTAAAAAAAATAATAATAATTATCCACCGGGCTCACGCCTGTAATCCCAGCACTTTAGGAGACCGAGGCAGTTGGATCACGAGGTCAGAAGTTCGAGACCGGAGCCTGGACAACAGGGTGAAACCCCATCTCTACCAAAAATACAAAAATTAGCTGGGCGTGGTGGCGCAGGCCTGTAATCCCAGCTACTCAGGAGGCTGAGGCAGGAGAATCGCTTGAACCTGGGAGGCGGAGGTTGCAGTGAGCCGAGACTGGGCCATTGCGCTACAGCCTAGGCCACGACTGTCTCCAAAAAAAAAAAAAGTTTAGAATAATTAGCCAGGTGTGGTGGCGTGTGCCTCCAGTGATCCACGAGCTTCAGCCTCCCAAAATGCTGGGATTACTCCCAAAGTGAGCCACTGCACCTGGCCGACCCCGAATTATTAAAGACAGAAAGTAGTCTGGTAGTTGCTTAGGGCTGGTGGGGTGTGGAGGGTTAGGGGAAATAGGGAGTGAGTACTAAAACGTATGGAGTTTCTATTTTTTTTTTAATTTTAATAAATGTAAATACATAATAATAAAGAGGCGCCGGCCTCCCTGGCCCAGGCAGAGGGGAGGCCTGGAGTTTCTTTTAGGGGCTATGAAAGTGTTCTAAAACTGTGATGGTAATTGCACAACTCTATGGGTATACTAAAAACCACTGAATTGTCCACTTGAAATGAGTGAATATATTGTAAATAAATTATATCTTAATAAAGTTGTCTTTTAAAAAAAGAGAAGAAGTTTGCCCAAAAGATCGCACATTCTTCAGTAGAAGAGTGAGGGCTAGGATGCATACATACCTCTGACTCTTACCCTGGATTTTAGTAAGGCTGGCTCCTCATCAGTCAGGTGTCAATTCAAAATTTCTCCACAGTGAAAAATAAAAATCAGCCCAGGACTGAGAAAGTATAACTCAGACTGTCATAGGCACAGATAATGCCAACAGCAAGAGCATCAGAAAACAGTGATTCTCTCAGAGCCATACATACCATAGGTACACCCCTTCTTCCAGATGATAATGCTTACTGATCAATTACCCACCCTATATTATTATTCTCACCTTTTGAATAAGAATTGCTGTTAGGCAGGGTGCAATGGCTCACACCTGTAATCCAGCACTTTGGGAGGCCAAGGCAGGCGGACCACTTGAGCTGAGGAGTTCAAGACCAGCATGGGCAACATGGTGAAACCCCATCTCTACAAAAAGTACAAAAATTAGCCAGGTGTGGTGGTGCGTGCCTGTAGTCCCAGCTACTCAGGAGGCTGAGGTGAGAGGATCATCACCTCAGCCCAGGAGGTTCAGGCTGCAGTGAGGCATGATTGCACCACTGCACTCTAGAACCTGGGTAACAGAAAGATCCTGTCTCCAAAAAAATGTTTAAATGATAAATACAAATGACAACATGAGGGTTTTTTTTTTTTTTTTTTGTATTCAATCTGTTCCATGCCTTCACTATGGTGGTAGATATACTTACCTACCTATGTAATGAAATTGTATAGAATAACATACAAACACACACATGAGTACAGGTACCCCAGAAAATCTAAAGACTGGTGACTTATATCTTGGTTATGATATTGTACTGTAGTTTTGCACAATATTACCATCAGAGAAAATAGATGAAGAACACATCGGGTCTCTTTACATTAATTCTTATAACTTTCTGTGAACCTACAATTATTTTAATAAAAATTCCAATTAAAAAGAAATTGAAATTGGAAGATAAAGGTGCATGGAGGAGGAACAACAAAGAGAAAGGGAAGATATGGGAAAAGAAAAGGGGAGAAAGAAAGATGAGGAAGGAAGGGAGGAAGGGAAGGACAAAGTGGAAAGGAAGGATAAAGAGAAGAAGGAAGAAGGTGAAGGGAAAGAGGAAAAGAGATAGAGAAGGAAAGAAAGATAAGAAGATGAGAAATGAGGAAGGGGAGGGGGCAAGGAGCAGAGAGATAGGAAATGAGGAGGCTAGGAGAACAGGAGGAGGAGCCAAGAGTTGAATATTCTTGCTGAATATAGATCTCAAATCAGAAATTCCATAGCTCAGCAGAAATACCTGAAAGCTTAATTCCATCATCATTCAGTAAATTACCATTTGTGGAGAATGAATTATCCTCAAATTTAGAAAAGAGAACTTTTCTTCCATAGCTGAATATTTCCCAAGGAAACATATTGCCTTAGTGAAAGATTGGCTCTGTCCCACTCAGATAAATTGAACTGCAGAATTTTTATTTTCATATTTCTGGTCCCCGAAAAGTATTGTTAAGGTGATTTTAAAATAATTTTGCAGAATAAATGCAAAATATAGTCAACAAAGTCTTGTTGCTGCTGAATATTTGGATGGCTTTTGTCTGTTTGCCAACCCTCTACACTAGAGAGCAAGCTAACTGCAATTCAACAAGTTCTTTGATAATTGACTGTTTTGAAAATGTTGTTGCTTGACAAAAAGCACTGTATTCCAATTTAGATTCCACTGCTAATTAACTCGTTATCTATCAGCAAAACATTTGACCATTTGGAATCTGGTACAATATGTTCCTCATCATGAAGGCAACATGGTGTGCTTTGTGACAGCAGGCAATTTGGAGCCAGATATAAGTGGGTTTAAATTCCAGTCCTGTGAAGTTAAGTGACTTCACATAGCTAGGTAAGCCAGAGAAGTTGCTTAACTTCTCCAAGCTCCACTCTATCCATGAAGGATAGTAGTTCCTTTATGTCAGGGTCATTATGAAAATGATGATGATATTACATGCAGAGCCTCTGACCCACAGGGGATCCTAACAAAAGAACTTCACCCCATTTTTTCCCTAGAAGTATTTGAGCTAATGAGTTAAATATTTTGAACAATTAATATAGGACTCTACAATGAATTAGGTGTTTTATAACAAGATATCAGTTAATCTTCCAGATTGTTCTGCAACGCAGATATTCCCATTTTTACAATTGATGAAACTAAGGACTAGGGAAGGTAAGTAGATTAACTACAATGATACAACATGTGTGAATCTGAGCTCAAAGAACAAACAGGTCTGTTTTGGGGGTCTTTTTTTTTTTTTTCTAGATGGAGTCTCTCTTTGCTGCCCAGGCTGGAGCGCAGTGGCAAACTCTTGGTTCACTGCAACTTCTGCCACCTGGAGT